ACAATCTACAGACTTTCTCGAACAATGCTCCAATGGTAGTCATGGTACGTGTTCGACTACGACTAATGTGCTCAGGACTGAGACTGGATTCTTCCTCATCAATTTCAATGGTAAGGGAATAAAATGCGCCAATAGCAATGACAAAGTACGACAAAATACAAAAATGCAACACGAAAGTATAAACATACAAAACGAATTATAATGAACCTGTTGAATAAAAAAAATTAACCTAACCGACTCTACTCAACACATAAATCACAATTAAGACAAATACATACATAACAACTCTCCCGCACTTAGCTCTTTGCTTGTCTTAAAACTAACAAAATTACTAACCATTCGAATAGATATATTATCTATTTGTTTTAAATGTCCCAATAAATCTTCAATTGTGTTTTACCCTGAAATTTTCATAGTCAAAATTCAACTTAAAAATATGCTCTGTACAATCTAGAGTCATACAAAATAAAATACGTCCAAAGTTTTTTCCACATATGGTTGATTCATCACAAACCCGTTAACCTACCACTAGCACCGCTTACTCTAAAAAAGACTCTAACAAGAGATATGGCGCGAAGCCCTAATGGGGTTATCCTGTACTCGAAAGAAGAAGTCGAACGAGGTCTCAGATCCCTGTTGTTCTAGCCCCCTTTGTTAACCCAGTTCCTCTACATCCGTCCGACGCCGAGCTATTTTTCCGCAGGACCTCACTCGATAGCCTATCATAAAGAGCTCCTTCCCTCCTTTTGTGCTACAAATGACCACTTTAATAAAATCATTCATGCCAACACATGTATATTCTCGGACCTCAATTCTAATATTTTCAACAAAACAAAAGGACGACTAACCAACTGAATACATCATCGAATAAGATCAAATACAAAGATGAAAATTTTCCTCTCTTAATTCATTTTTCTATTTCTTTATTATTATTTTTTTATGAGCCACTTTTTTCAAATGAATGTTCTGGACGATTATTATATGAGTCATCTTTAATAAATGAATGGAATAATAGTTCAAGAACCCGGAGACAAGAGCATGTGATTATAGTTGAGCATCCGCCTACCGTCGGTGAAAACAATAATAGAGGGTCTCGACCCTCTATAAAAGGATATTTGGAGGAAGCAGAAGATGTTATTCATTCTCTTTAGCTTTGCCACTATAATAAAATCTTTGTAATAATTAAAAAAAAAAAGAATGTTTGTAATAGTTTGTAATACATTGAGTGTTAAGAGTTGTCATTTTTTCTTCCAGAAATTTTATGTGTGTCTGTATCTACGCGTAAATCATGAGAGGCTAAAAATAATTTCTCATCTTTAAAAGAGATTACTTATGTAATAAAATCTCTTCGAGTCTATAATAAAAAAAATGGTCTTTTTGCTTCACAACATGTTGTCATAATTTGCATCTATCTCCATAACTAAGTTCATACACGTCTGGAGTAGGAAACAGACCAAATTTGTGTTGAGTGGTGTCTAAATGAGTCAGATAACTTGTATTCATCTTCTCATAGGTTTGGAGGAGTCGTCCATGAAACAAACTAGGGGCACTAATTTTGAGCAATCCATAACTGATGCGATCAAGCCTATATTAAGAATCAATCAGAGCATACATTCACATTAAATTCCCGACTGGTGAAATTGCAACTCAACTCACCCAAAACCATGTCGATGAAAAAAGGTACGAAAATTATAGAGTAATTTATTTTACATAAGTATGTTGGGTCTGGTATTATTCAGTTTATTTTAAGTACTCAGGTATTAAGAGACTAGGTACTGCTAATAAACAGAGTGAACATTATCTTGTAAAAATATATTATCAATATAAAGATGGTACTACTTTTCTAACTAAAATGAAGATAAGTGTATTGTGAGAATAATATAGGGTTAAAGTTTTAATGCAAGTGGAATGGAGTGTAGTGGAAAAAATTTAGGAGTAGAGACTGACCAAGAAGTCGAAAAGAGGTTTGAAGAGTGGGATGGAAAAGGCCCAATAATTATTTAAAATTATATAAAATAATAATTATAATAATTTGTATTAAGAATATAATTTATTTTAAAGCAACTTCTTTATTATAACACCATCCATTTACGATATTTAATAACTTACAAATAACATACCACAAAAATAATATTAATTGATATGCAAAATAGCTCTACTATGTAATAACTCAAGTTGGTATCACATCATCGTGTCAATTGTATAATCCATCAATTAATTTTAATTTTTGAAACTTATTATGTTGATTATTTTTAATATGAAAAAAAGTTAAAAAAAATATTTATCTTTAGATATATAATTTATAATCTTTATATATGATCATTTGTTATAGACATTTACTACATAAATCATAGAATATTTTTTAATTCATAAAGTTAAATCTTTTTAAGGAGAATTATAAATTTTATTTGGATCAATAAAGTGCTTGAATTATGTTACTATTCAGGTCGATTGAATTACTATTTAGGTTAATACTGGGTGATTCCATTCCATTTCCTGGTTACCAAGTTATGGGTCATTTTGACTAAACCAAATTAATTATTGAAATTAAATATGAATTTGAATATTAAAAATATTTTATTAGGATAAATGTAGTGTAATCTAAACTTTAAATAATTATGTTAGAAATATTTTTATGACAACATATTGAATTGAATGATTTATGAACATTTATGTATTATTTTATGAATATTTATGTGAACAAAATATATTATATTAAACTTTGATTAATGTATGATAAATCTAAGGTTCTCAAATTTGGAACATCATCGAAACAATCTAATTGTTTATTGGTGGGACTAGAATTTAATTTATTAATATATTAATATATATAGTACTTATTTTAATAAATTTATATTAAAATATTAATTAAATATCTATACAATTTAAAAACTTTCTAATTTTTAAACTAATTGATAGATAATTTAAAATCTCTATTTGATTTTATTTATATTGAAATATGTATTTTATTTATATTAAATCCTACCAACCGACTAGATGATGTGATCGGTTCTCTAGCAAACGTTTTATTCAAGCAAATTGGAACGGTCGGTGAACCGGTTCCAGTCCATCCAGTTGACCGTCTGGTCCGATCTAGACTTGAAAACAATGGTAAGTCATAACTAATGTTATTTATATATTTAATTTAAAATATGATTGTAATATTATTTTCTCATGCATCACATGTGCCATATACTAGTATTTCATAATAAAAAATGCATATGCACATGTCAGTAAAAAAGAGTGCATGTGCATGTGGCAGACTCGCACGCTTTGAAATCCTACCTGTCACACTATCATCTTTGTAGTTAGGTTCAGATAAAAAATTTTGAAACAAATTTGGCTTAAAAAGTGTCATAAATAATTTTTTCACCATACACTATTATTGCCTTCCATCAATCTCTTTTTCATTACTAAATTTGTCTTTAATTTAAAGATCACAAATCTTTCTTTCTTTATTTCATTTTACTAAGGATTTATCTCATTCATCATATTGTATTATTTTTTTCAAGTCGATAAACGTTAGCATATTTTTTAATTTGTTTCTTTGTTTGCGTAATGAATAATAATGAACTAAAATTATATATTATAATATTAATGATATAATGAATAAAATATCAACTAAACGTTTCTCTTATCTTAACTCTCATCAGCTTTAGTCGTTATCTTAATTATCATCAATTATCCTATTAAGGGGGTGAGGGGTATGGTGCCAAGGGGGTGAGGGGTATGTTTTAGTAGTGTTCGTTGAAGGCTTGTATATTTGAAGTACCGCTAAATACAAGTCGAATGTCGTTGTATCTTGGAGGTGTTTGCCGTTAACCGTCGGTATTTTACGGGCTTAGTTGCCGCTACTTATGCTATCGAGACCATATTCAACCAAAAGGAACCAACTAAAGAGGTTACCATCACCCTCCCTCTAGTCCTACCACCTTCCATTCGCTTTCTTTCCTTCTATGGTTCGTGGCGAGTGAATGGGCACTGGTTAGGTTTTTTAAGTCTAGAATAGAATAAAGTGAAAGCAAGAGAGGTCAATGTAATCTTTAGAAGAGGGACTACCCTTTTCGAATAGTAGACATCCATACAGGAAGCGAAACTCGAAGAACTAAAACTCAATTACATTGAGCTGGCTTCCCGAAACCATGACTTGGAAACCTGGCCTTTTTTCCGATCTCTGAAATTGACCCTTCGAATATATATATAGAAAAGGGGCGTTTGCAACCCCTAATGTATGATTTGACCCGGCCGGGAGTGGAAAGCGTGAGTCACCTGATCTAACTCAGTCTTAGCCAGAAACCCCTCCTGCTCATTCACTTCTTCGTCAAGACAAGGTCCATCGACGAGCTCGAGCGCACAAGATGGTTTCAAGTTGATAAATTTTAGACCATTCATCATATTTTTTATTTTTCCAAGTTAATAAATTCAAAGTAGAACTAATAATGTTGTGTACAAAGAATTTTTGAGATTTTAAAACAAAATAAAAATTTACAACAATTTTTGTTTTATGAAAATTTCATTTATTTATTTTGTATATACTTACAATAGCTAAACTCTTTTACTTTTTTTGTTCAAATTATTTTTTCATACACTCGTGTAGTACATGAGTGTTCGTATTAGTTAGATTTTATTACAAAAATTTAAAATGTAATGCAAAAATACCAAATATAGATTATTTTCCACATTTGCCAATTTTTTTAAGTAATAGAATAAATTCCAAAATTAACAACATTAGATGAGAAATATAAATATGATATAGATAGATGTTCTATTATTACTAAATAAAATCATATTAAAGAAAAATAAAAAATAGAAAACAAAACCATTTTTTTTCCCTCGCTAAACTCTAGTACTCTACACCCACTGAGTCTGATTAACCTCATTCTAGGGTTTTATGCCCCCAAATCTTCAAGCATTTGTTTCGATTTTCTTTGTGATGTTTTATTTTTCCGAATCCTCGCCACAAGTTTGATCAATTCATCGAGAAAAAATTATTGTTGTTCATGGCGGGAGGAAGCAAAGGTGGTGGGCCCGGGCCCGATTCGTCGAAGTCCGCATCTTCATTCGAGTCGGCCGGCGACCGACTTCGATTCACGGTGGAGCTGCGGCCCGAAGAAACAACAATTGTTTCGTGGAAGAAGCTTGTCAGAGAGGCCAATTTGAGCAGGTCCGGTAAACCCGACCCGTCGGTTTCGGAACCCGAAATTCTGCCTCGGCTCGTGTCCGTGCCGCCGCTCCCTCCTGTGGCGGGTGCTTCCGTAGAGCCTTCTGCTGAGAAAGAACAGAAGGATCCTCAAGGGCAGGCTGGGTCGACCCGTTTGAATACCGTGATTGAGAGAATCGAGAGAATGTATGCGGTAAGTTGGTTTTGTTTTGGTTAGTCATTTTGTTAAAATGGAATGTATGGGTGTGATTGAATTCTTTACCCTTTTTCTTTTTGTTCACCTGACACTTTCTATAGGCCATGACAAACACCTGCTTCATGTATAAAGTTGCACTTGACCATTAGTGTAACATTGTGCATACAGGACATCCGTGAATTGTGTGTATGGCTGGACTCGAATTTCATGATGCACCGTCATAACCATTGTTTAAAAGTTCCTTTCTATTATCCGGGTTCTCAGCTGCCATTGTACTACAGTAATCATGCTAACTGAGTTAACACCTGTAATGTTTGGGACTATAGAACAATGATTATTTCCAAATGGGCCTCATTATTTCTCATTCGTATTCTGTTCTTTTCTTTTCTTTTTTATAATCAATTGTTAGTGACTTAATCTCAAGGGTTCGAGGTCGGCACTTGGCACATCCAGTGCAGTGCAGTTATTATCTACTGGTTACTTGGTTTGATGGTAGAAGCATTAAACCGTTTAGACGATTTGCTCTTTAACTGTCTTCTTTTTATCTTAATCGTTTTTACCTTTTTAATGATGTTGTCATGTGCGTGTCATGTAACTTGCAGGGAAGTGGGAGTAGTGATGATGAAGACGTGATGCTAGACAATGTGCCGGATGATGATGAATATGATACTGATGATTCCTTCATCGATGATGCTGAATTGGTGGGCACTGCCTTTACATATGCTGGTGCACCATATTAATCCGTGATATACCATGGTTCTTTAACCGATGAGCTTATCTTCTGTACAGGATGACTATTTCCAAGTTGATAATTCGGCAGTCAAGCATCATGGATTTTTTGTTAACCGTGGGAAGTTGGAGCGCGTGTAAGTTTGTCTTAGATATCTCTTTTCAAGTTGTAGTTACAGTATATGTGTTTTTCACTTTACTGTTATCTTACAGAGATGCAGCTGAGATTGATGAAATGTGTTGGTTTCCTGGTATCTTTTAGTGCCTCTTGGCATTGACCTGGATGAGACCAACCCAAGATTTCTCTTGTGTGCCTTATAGACTTTCAAATTAGGAAGATTTAAAATTGTCCTATAATATTATTAATAAATAGAATGTAAGTGCTTGGATGCATATGATTGTGTTCATTGCTGTTCGATTCTCTCTCCACTCTCCCTTTGGTCGAGACTTCGCTCTCCTTTTCCTACGCAATTTTCTATATGCACATGCTATCTATCCTTCTAATGCATATTTAAATGATTCACGAGATTAATGCTTGACGGTCTTAGGGTTGCTAATGGCAAGTTTTTCGAATTATTTGTGGCACAAACTAGTTGATGTTTTATGATTAAGTGATGTCTGGTGGTGCAATAATTTGATCACTGCATGTGTTCTGAACTGTTTGTAAAGTGCTATGTCTTTATAAAAATATATTCAAATCCATTGATTGCATTTATTACATTGGAAAATATTAAGCACATGTGTTTATTTATTATTTTGGCTCTTATGTAATTATGTTTTGAGATATTTGGTTGGGATTATGTAGAGAGTATTACTACAACTCGATTGATTTCAGCTTTTGGAAAACCTGCTGTTCAGGACAAGCTGTTGTAATTTCTTCATTAGTATCATTATCATCACCATCACACAGTTCTAGATCTTTCATGCACCTTTATGATACTTAAATTTTTCCTGCAGTGAACCTACCATTTCCTCTAACCAGCAGCCAAAAAAGAGGAGACACAAAGATTTGGCAAAAGGGAAAAATGAGAGTGATGATGGTCGTAACCCAAATAAAACTGCAAAATTAGTGAATAAAGGTAAAAATGCATCGTCAGTGTTCCAAACAATCCCAACCAACCAGCCTCGCATAGTTGGTATGCCCAACATACCTGGTGAGGATATGCAATTTCAGGCTGCACATGTAGATGCTGCTGAATTTTCAATAAAGAAGAAATCTTCAGATTTGCATGCTACAGAAGATTCTTCAGGATTTTTGGGTGTTGGTGCTATTAGGCAGAGTATGGATATTGACGAGCAAATGCTTGAAAATGTCTCGTTAAAGAAACATAGTATCAAACTGAAAGAGACTGAACCTAATGATGCTGCAGCATGTAGGTCAAATGATAAGAGCTCCTATCCAAGCAAAACCCATTATGGGAAACAATCTAGTAAGGTTGATGATCTAGATCGGCCGATTGAGCAGAAAGTAAAAGGCGGGCTTTTAGGAAAAATTGACCTTAACGCCCCTCCAAACAGGGAATCTGTGCCAACTACGGTGAGAATTAGCTTGTTATATTCTGGTTCATATACTTTTGAAGTGATATCAAAATCTTTTGACTTCTTAATTGAGGTTCTAAGTTGAAATTGGTGCTTGAAACAGTGGAATGATTAAGGAAGTTGTATTTTAAACTTGTAGATTATCTTGACATTTGTGAATGCCTAAGATATTGTACATTTGTTACTTTAGTCATACCACCTATTATTCGATAATGAGTTTCATTGTCGAGCTTGGAATTTTTCTACATTGGACTATATGTTGTAAAAGTACAACTTATAAACTTAAAGCAACTGATGGAGTACTTCACCATTTGAATAGTTTATAGAATATCTATTATTATTGGGACTTGTCCACTTTTGGAGAGGCCAAACTGATCTGATATTAGTAAGGCTCTGTGCATTGTTATAGTGTTCTCGTGGTTGGCTCTAATTATCTGTCACATTCTCCCAAAATTTACGGTTACTTTCTATGTGATTTCGGAAATAAAATCATTTGTTATATTTGTGATACCTCCGTTTTTGCCTATCAGTTCAACTGCATCGTACCTAATCAAGTTTATTTGCATTTTGTACAGAAGGCTACCCCCATGCCAAGAAAGCAAGGATCTAGTGTTCGGCCAAAGGTTACAAAGCTTGAGAAGGCCATTATGGAGTTAAAACAGATAGTTGCAGAATGTATCTTCCTGCCCCTGTCATTATATTTCCTTAATTACTGTTTCGTGATTCATGCCTCAATTTATCTTTCTCCTGTGCATGGGAAAACTACAGCTAGACCACCTTCCACAGAAGTCCAGGATCCTGATAATTCTTCGCCGGCAGTCAAAAAGAGAGTGCCATCTGAAATAAGGCAAAAGCTGTTGAAAGTTGCTACATTAGCGGTACTTTGGAGTGATTAAAAATGTTTTTATTATCCATCTCCTATGGGTTGGTGGTTGAATTTTCTTCACTGTGAATCTCATCTCTTGTACCTTTGAGTGTCTGCAGCAAACCAGCTATGGAGAAATACCAGTGGATGTGATCAATCGTCTGATGAGCATTGTTGGCCACTTGATGCAACTTAGAACTCTGAAGGTATCATCCTCTCTCACTAAGAAGTCATGTCATAATAGTTATTGTTTTTGTTGTTTTGAATTCTTCCAGATCGCTTCCTTAGCACTTTGATTTATTCCTTTTTATTGTGATAGATCTAATGTTTATGTGACCTTAGACGGTTATTTGCTACTCATAATATGTTTGTTGTAGTTAGGGCTGCAAACGAGCCGAGCCGATTCGAGCATTGGTCTTATCGAGCAGGATTGATTTTTTTTTTTAGCTGCTCAAGCTCGATTTATTAGGCTCGAGCTCGACTCGATAAAAAAATACAAGAGCTCGAGCTCGGCTCGAATTCAAAATTCTCGAGCTCGGCTCGAATTCAAAATTCTCGAGCTCGGCTCGAGTTCGGTTCGAATTTTTCCAAGAAATTTTGTAAAATAACAATTAAATACATATATATAAGGGTATTTTAGTAATTTCATATATCTCGAGCTGCTCGGCAATGTAAGCTCGAGCTCGACTTGAGTTCGTGCTCGAGCTCGACTCGAGTTCGCGCTCGAGCTCGACTCGAGTTCGTGTTCGAGCCGTCGAGCTCGACTCGATTTCGGTCACACTCGAGCTCGAGTCGAGCTTTGGCTCGAGCGCTCGCGAGCTGCTCTACTCGTTTGCAGCCCTAGTTGTAGTTTCCAGTGTGCTTTATGTGGCATTTAAATCATTTTCTTTTTCTCCTTTTCTTACCTGCTCTTTTCTTTCTTTCTTTCTTTCTTTCTGTAAGAGAAGTAGATCTGTGATTGGTTTTTAGTGCAGTTTTGCTCAAGTAAAAGTTGTCTGGTATGCTGTGAGATAAGGGAAGTTTGGTGCTTGTGTGTTTTTGTCCCTTTATTAGGTTGCTGTGCCTGTTTTAAGTGATGGCGGCCACTGTGTTTGTGTGTGGTTGAATGTTTTCGCTGGTGAAGGGTTTTCAGCAATCCTTTAAAAAAGGATGAATATGTTGTGCATGTGTTACTTAGATTCTTGCCTTTCCTACAAATGGTCCCCGAGGTACTTTTTGCTTATTATCAGACGTTTCACGGTATTTTGCTTATGTAGTTCCTGAATTTTCGATGCATTTGCCAACTCTTGATACTTTCTTCTCCGTCTTTTCTGGATCTCTTTCTGTTAGTCATCTTTACTTTTTTGGAGAAAGAGCGATGTTTTTACTGATGAAGAATACAATGAATTTTTTAAGTTTCTCACCCTAGTATGTGGAAATTTTTATTGGAAATTCATTTACAATATTGTATAGCCTAGATCCATAGCAGTGTATATTGTTTTATGTTCACTACAAATTCAAATGACCGAGAATACTTGCTAAACGATTTGGTCTTATGATACCATTTTGAGTCATGCTGTGAATGGATGAAAGTGAGTTAGATATCTGCTTTGATTGACCCCTTTTTTGTGTTGGCATGACGGAATCGTTTGCAAGAGGACATCAGGACAATATCTTGGCTGAAAGAAATTCAAATGTTAGCGACATAGATACCGAATGAAGTTTAGCTTAGATATAGTTGCTTGTTTTAAATAACCTCTCTGATACACTGGTTTACATGTCTATCACAATTTGCTCTTGAACCATAAATGTGGTTGATCACCTATAACGGTGAACTCTGTAAGGGTATCTTTTTTATGAAACAAACTAATGTTGCCATGAAGTTCACCGAAACAATTTAGATTGTTTGTGATTTATTGCTCATGTGTGTTCTATTCAAATAAGAGAATTTGAGTGAGCTGGACATAATGAGCTTTCCAATTGTTATCGCTCTACCTGAAATTGGATTTATTTGATTTGTTGACAAATTTCCCTTTGTGACTGCGAATCTCACCTAAAATTTTTTTGATTATCGAGTTATTAAAGATCATGCCCCTTAATTTTAACAAATCTCTTACATATTCATTTACCTTAAATTTCCCTGTCTGCTTTCTTTTACTAGGGTGGAGTTTCTCTTCGGAGTATTTTGTTTTGTTTTGGATTAGCTTGGATCTCATCTGTATGAGTAGAATCTTTTCAACCAGCAATAATCTAATATAGAGCTTATTCCAGTAGATTATGGGTCCATGTATGCTTATAAAGTTACACTTAGTACTAATGCTCGTGTGGTGAATTATTCTTAATAGGAAAAAAATACCATCAGAACTATGGTCTTTCCAGTCTTTTGCTTTAACGTTTCCGTTACACTTTTACATTTCAGTTATATGGTTTTTGCACATGACCTTATGGAGCTCTCCCATTGAATTTCCTCTTAATTATATCATATGCATGTCATGCCTCGTGTTATGTGCACTTTCTAGTCAATGTCAAATTGTTTTATGTGCCTAAGTCGCATGTTTAGCCTAATGCAAAAAAAATTGATTACCTTTGCCAACATAGAAGGGAAAAAAAAAAAAAACAGTCTGATTTTTACTAGAATGTGCACAAATAAGAAGCACATCATGCATGTGACATGAAGTTTCACAATTGAGGTGTTCTAGATGTGAAAGTGCGAAATTGGATGGCAAAGTATGATGAGTGTATGATTAGCGTCAAAGGTGCGTAATTATCATAGGTGGAATTCCTTGTCATCGAGATTGGCTGAACATGTGGAGTAAATTGTAAAGAATATACACCAGCCATCTAATAGGAACATCCAGAATAAGCAGAAGAGAGTAGGTTTATATTGTTTAGGGCTACCATTCAGTGATACGCATTTTTATTATGTTGTTTACATAATGACATGGTCTCTTGTGTGGATTACATAAAGTGAGCTAATATTACAATCTTTAGCAATATTCTTACATTCTCACTTTGTATACATAAAATTTAACTTGGCTAGAATCTAGTATGTTTTATATGACGAGTACCGTGAGACTTTATACAATTTCCAAGAATATCGGTGCACATTCAAAATCTGGTTTTTTTTTTTTTTCCTTTTTAAGTCCTGATGTACGTTTGCATTATTATCCATCCGAAGTACGTGCT